GAAGAAAAATAGGAAAAATATATTTTTTAAAGTATTTTTCCGGGCTCGAAGTGTGAGACGGCACCGAGGGGATTTGAGTTCGGGGTCTTTTCCAGCCTCGCTCACTGCCAACTCCCAAACTGAGTTTGCAATATCTTCTTTTTTTTTTTTTTTTTTTGAAAGAAGCATCAAAACCTCATTTGGCAAAGCCTCACCCCAAACTCGCAGCCGGGGCTTTCGGGACGGACGGGGGGTGCTGCTTTTGCTTTCTCCTCCATCCCTCCCCGAGCAGAAGAAGGCACAGACGCTGCGGGCTCGACGCTCAGCTCGCTCCCGGGGCCGCGCTCCGCTCTTCTCCCGCCGCTTCCCGGAGCTCCTGTCCGCCCCTGCTGCCCGAAGCCAGGCTGGGACACGGGACACGGGACACGGGACATGGGACACCCCCCTGGCACCCCGAGCGTCCTGGGGGATGCTGAGCCCCAGGAGCGGGGTCTGTCCGGCCCGGCTCACATAACGCACGGCTTGATGTCCTGGTATGTCACTTGTTGGTGGTAATAGGAGCCGCTGCCCGCTGAATGCATGGACGAGGAGGCCATGGCGTTGAAAGAGAAGACGAATTCCTTTCTGTCGCACATGCTCGGAGACTGCGAGTGATACCGCGGGATGCCTGCGGGACGGGGGGAGACACGGTCAGCAGCGCCCAGAGGTTCAGCAGGGGAGGGTGAAAAACTCGGCATGGGGGTTGAAAAAAAAATAAATCCCAACGACACAACCCAACCCGCCCGCACGGCCCGGTCCGAGCGCGGATTTGGGGCTGTTTTGGCACATCGCGCTTGCGGGCAGGTGCGGCACAGAGAGCCCCGGCACCCGATTCCCTGCCCGGCCCGAGGGCACTGCGAGGAGAAGGGATTTGCGTTGGATTTAGGGTTTCCTTTAGTTCGCTGAATGCATGGACGAGGAGGCCATGGCGTTGAAAGAGAAGACGAATTCCTTTCTGTCGCACATGCTCGGAGACTGCGAGTGATACCGCGGGATGCCTGCGGGACGGGGGGAGACACGGTCAGCAGCGCCCAGAGGTTCAGCAGGGGAGGGTGAAAAACTCGGCATGGGGGTTGAAAAAAAAATAAATCCCAACGACACAACCCAACCCGCCCGCACGGCCCGGTCCGAGCGCGGATTTGGGGCTGTTTTGACACATCGCGGGTGCGGGCAGGTGCGGCACAGAGAACCCCGGCACCCGATTCCCTGCCCGGCCCGAGGGCACTGCGAGGAGAAGGGATTTGCGTTGGATTTAGGGTTTTTTTTAGGTTTTTTTTCACCACTTCGATTTATTTTCTTTCCCCCGGCTGCTTTTCCCATCGCCTCGGCCCGTGCGGAAAATCCGCCGGGAGCAGAGCGGGGCAGCTCCGGGAGGAGGCCGGGGCCGAGAGCTGTTCCCACCATCCCTGCCGCCACCTGGGCATGGAAGAGCGCCCCGGGAATCGGGGGTGCGCTGGGCAGGGGCTGCCCTGCCCCGGAGCGCTCCCGCCGCTCCTTTGGGTGACAACCGCAGCGTTTCGGGAAGGCCGCGCACGGGCCCGGTGGCTCCTCGGGGCGGATTCCCAGCGGATTCCAGAGGCCCTGGATGCGCTGAGCTCCGGGAGCTGCCCCGGGACAGGAGGGTGCCCGTGGTGGGCACTGCCCCGGCTGAGACCGGGCTCTGCCCGGGTTCTGCAGCTCCGGCCCGGCCCGGCTGATGCTTTTTCCCCGTTTCGCTTTGTGGTTTGGACCCGTTTGTTCTCTGCTTTCAAAGCCGATCCTGTCAGGCACGTCCCGCTCCCCAGAAGGCCCGGGGTGATGGGCACGGACCCCCAAATCTGCCCCATCACCGCCCATGGCGCCGGGCTCCCCACAGCCACCGCACCCCGAGGGGAATTTGGGCAGCAAAGCAAAACCCAGCGCTGGCCTCGTCCCTTCCGAGGCCTCTTCCCGGCCAAACACCACCTCCACTCCAAAAGCCAGGGCAAAAGCAGCCCCGACAGCTCCAGGGACGAGACCGAGCGGGGTTTTGGGGGGATTTGGGGGTCCGGGATGCCGGCTTCGGCTTGGGCGGCGGATGGAGGTGATGGGCCTGGAAACCACGGCCTTGAGACGTGTGAGAAACACAGCTGATGGCGGGGAAGGGCCGGGGTAGCACGGAGTGGGATGGCACGGGTGGCGGACCACCCCGTGGGGAATTCCTCCCTTTCCCCTCCAGGTGCCCATGGAGGTGGGAGAGCCCAAGGGAGCATTCCCGGCCTCTCCTTCCCGATGCCGGAGCCCTCCGGCCTTAGGCCTGGGGCGGCCCTGGACGTGAGGCAGCGGAGCCCCGGCCCGGCAGAGCCCCGACGGGCGCCCGGCTGCCCCCGGGAAAGGAAGCGAGGGCAAGGCATCTTCCCCCCGGAACCAGCATTAAAACCGCCCAGAAGCGAGATCCCGGCCGGCAGCGGCAGCGCCGGGATCCAGGCGGGGCCCGCAGCCCCGGTGGCCGCGGATGCGCCCCACGCGTGGCCGCGCCTTACCTTGGAGGTCGGCGGTGTTGTGGCTGTTCTGGTGCAGGTAGGGCTGGTCGAGGGAGTGCGTGGAGAGGCTGGAGGAGAGCGGGTTGGCCGTGGGGTTGCAGGGCGAGAGGGGCTGCTGCTTGATGTAGGACGCGCCGGTGTTGAGGGCCGCCGAGGCGCTGGGCGCCCACGCCGAGGCCGAGCTGGAGTAAACCGAGTGCGGCTCCATCACGCCGCCGGCGGGGAGCAACGGGGATGCGGGCACGGAGCTGTCGTGGTGCGGGTATTCCCCGGCCGAGGAGCCGGTGCAGCCGCCCATGTAGGTGTGCCCGCCGTTGGCGGGCAGGTGGGGCACGGAGTGTCCCGCCAGGCCCATGCCCTCCACGTTGCTGGACAAATGCCCGTTCATCATGCCCAAGCCCCCTTCGAGGGACAGGCTGTTGGGAGGGCAGGAGAGCCCGCCGGCCGAGCCCTGGAAGCCGTAGCTGTCGGGGAGGTGGTTGAAGCTGAGCCCGTTCATCATGCTGTACATGGGCTTCAGCGCCTGGCATTTCCTCCGGAACCCGCGGGGCCGGCGGCGGAACGAGCCCTCCTCGAACATGAACTCGCTGGCCGGGTCGATGGTCCAGTAGTGGCCCTTGCCCGGGCGGCCCAGGCCCTTGGGCAGCTTGATGAAGCACTCGTTGAGCGAGAGGTTGTGGCGCACCGAGTTTTTCCAGCCCTGGTAGGAGCCTCGGAAGAAAGGGAAGCGGCTCTGCAAGAACTGGTAGATCTCGCTGAGGGTCAGGCGTTTGGAGGGAGAGCTCTGGATAGCCATGACGATGAGGGCGATGTAGGAATAAGGCGGCTTCTCCGGCCGCCGGATCCCCGCGTTCGTCTTCTTCGCCTTGGGGCCGCCGCTGCCCGGGGCCCCGCCGCTGCCCGGGGCGCTGCCGGCCGCGCCGCCGGTCCCCGCCGAGGCGGCGTCCATGGCCGAGCTCTGCGGCTGCTTCTCAGCCACGGAGGACATGGGGCCGTAGCTGCTGTGCACCGGAGGAGGAGGGGGCTGAGAGGACAGAGCCTGCTGCGCTTCTGCAGTCATCTACGGCCAGCTCCGCGGCGGCCAGCCCCAGCCCCGGCCCTCCTCCGCCGCCCCCCCAGCGCCCCCGCGAAAGGCCGCGCTGCTGGGGGCTCGCCGCCACTCACCCACCGCCCTCCCTCCGGCGTCCTCCCGGCGGCTCCGCTCTCCACCGGGAGACTTCACCCCTCCGTGGATAAACAAATGGAAGCGACGACACCCCCCACCCCCCCTTTGCCTCCTCCTCCTCCTCCCACTCTATCCCTAAATCCGAGCGCGGCTGCAGAAGGCGAGCGAGAGGCGGAGGGTCGGGAGGGGGGGGCCCGCAGGGAGGCGGGATGGG